GGAGGGACGGAGGCCACGCGTGGGCCCACCACTGACCCAGCCTGCCGGGAAAGAGACCAACCCTGAGTTCTCTCTTTGGGCTCAACCCTTGAGAGGACCCCCCCAGCTGCCTTGCAAAGAGTAGCCATTCGATTTTATTTAGAGAAGACGAGCAGAAAACGGAACAACTATCTTCATGGCTTTAAAGCAAGAGAAGGACGGGGCGCCCGGGTGGCTCAGTCATTAAGCGTCTGCCTTCGGCTCAGGTCATGATCCCGGGGTCCTGGGATCGAGCCCCGCATCCAGCTCCCTGCTCGGCGGGAAGCCTGCTTCTCCCTCTCCCACTCCCCCTGCTTGTGTTCCCTCTCTCGCTGTGTCTCGCTATGTCAAATAAATAAATAAAATCTTAAAAAATAAATAAAATAAAATAAAGCAAGAGAAGCAACCAGTGAGGCAAAGATGACCAGATCTGAATGTTTCAACGTTGAACACTTACTTGTATGCAAATGAAGAGACCACAGACGGGGACGTCGGCATTATGTGTGTGACACAGAAATGATTGGTGGGTGTGAGGACTTGCAGCCCCCCCAACGTGTGGGAAAAGGGCCGGGACCCAAACACACAGCCAGAGTCGGACAGGCACCAGGGACTGAATATCGTTCAGGGCCCACAGACACTTACAACGTCCGGTTGTGCGGCTGGTTTCGTGTACAGAGGATTCCTCACATCTCCGCATGGATGATGTTCCAAAACGTGCCTTCCAGTGGTGGCGACGGGTCTCACTGGTGAGGAGGCACTGCCCTATTTTACTTAACTAAGTTCCCTTTTTCTTTTTTTCTGTCTTGGTAATTAACTTTGCGAGAATGAGACAGATACTCCAGGGATGGCTTTGCCTTCGCTCCACGTGGGGCCTCAACAGGCACTGGCCTCCAAGGGCTCCGTGTTCAGACCCCCAGCATGGGGTCCCACAGGCCGCTGCACCAGGCCACGGGGCCCACGCTACCGTGCAGGAGGCACCCGAGTAGGCCTGTGCCCGAGACACCTGCACCGGACCACCTGGTCGGGGGAGGGAGGGGTGACGCATCACCGTGGGAGCATTGTGAGGACGGGAATCTGGGACCCAAGAGGTGGGCATGAGGACGACTCCACTCACCACCACCCTGCATGACCCGCTCAGGGGATCTGGGCTTCCGGCCTCCATAACTCGGGGCTCTGCAGTGTCAGATGTCCTGGTTTCAAAGGAAGAATCGCTTCCACCCAGGCACCCACTGAGCTCAGGCTGCCGTCCGGCTGGGCCAGGCTCCTTGTGCCAGAGGACCCACAGACATCCTGTCAGCAGTGGAAATGCACCTGGATCAGCAGGAGAAGGCAGGACGCTCTTAACCTGCGAGGGGCACGAGGGAACATGTCTGGCACCCGGGCGACCCATCTCGGTTTTCCCTCGCCCCGCTTTGACAGCTAATGGACAAACACAGCAGCTCCGGACCCTTCAGACCCTTCAGAAAGAAGGGTCCGGGTCCCCCGACCAAGTAAGCCACCTGGGCCGGCAGACGTGCCACTTGTGGGGGAGGGGACTCTAGAATGGATGGAAGGTCTGCAATGTCAGGGGCTGGACCTCCTCCCTGGAACCTTCATCTTAGAGCTTTCTCCAGGAGGAGCCCCCTGGGATTCTGGGGGAGCTGCTCCCCAAACTTCTAGGAAGGAGCCAATCTGAGTGCATGGGGCTAGGTTACGACGGATGCTGTGATCCACATTGGGACAGATGGCCTCGTTCCCCCAGCTGCTTGTGGGGCCACCGGTGCACAGCCTCAGCTGCCAGCCTCCCTGTTGCGGAGGCTGGTCCCTTCCCGAGGGCCATCCTCATCCCGGGACCCGTGGAATCAGCTGGAATGGCCTGGCCCCGCACCCTGACGCAGGAGAGCTCTGAGAGGCCTGCCAGTGTCAGGGCTCCCCTTGGGCTTGGCCGACGGCTTCGTGGGGGCTGCTCCCTCTCCCCACTGTGGGATGTGACCCCAGAGCACTCCCCGATAAACGTCCCACAGGCCGACACCAGCCCCGGTGGCCTCCAGGAGCCCGCCTGCGATGGTGGCATCTGAGCGGATCCGAGGGGAGCAAGAAGGAGGATCCTTCAGCAAAGGGGCAGCTGGTCCAAAGCCCTCGGGCAAGAACGTCCGTGTGGTCGGACCAACAGAAGCCAGAGTGGCTATAGGGGAGGGAGCCAAGGGGCCGAGCGGGACGGCGACCCCAGATGGACCATGTGGGACCACGCGGGACCTCGCAAGTCACCCCGGGATTCGGCTCTGTGCTCAGCAGCACCATTCCATGCGTTTCACTAGGAAAAGTGACACCATCAATACGAAAAGTGACACACCAAAAAAGGTGACACCGCACCATGTAAATGGATCATTCCGGCTGCTGTGTTTGGGGTGAGGACAGCCCCCAGGAGGCGGCTGGGGGGTACGTCAGTGACCTGGGGCAGGTGGGACAGTGGCTCAGACCAGGATGACAATACAGGGTCAACGGGTTTTCTGGGAGATCAGTGCAGGGTGTGACAGAAAGAAAATCCATTAGACCAACAGTAATTCCTGCCCTGTGCGCTCGGATAATTGACATGTACGTTGTGCTGATATTGGTTTCCAGAGAGCATTATTAAAAATTTCATGTAGTTGATGCAATCTATTATTTTCAGGGTATAAATCTTGAACATCTTTCTCGCTCTCTCGTTGTCCGTACGTGTTGATCTATGCTGTCATTTTTAATGAGTTAATTTTCCTAAAATACAATTATATGGATAACTTTCATGATTACACTTAATCCCTTATTTGGAGACTTTTAGGTTACTAAGTGTTTTACGACAATAAGCCGGATCAGCAACACTGTAGACACGTGCTTGTGCACTCACGCACTCTTACTCTGGGGTGAATTCTAGGAAGTGGGGCTACCAGGTCAGAGAGCGTGCCCATTTCTAGGGTTTTTGAGATGGACTCCTAATTGCCCAAACATTTCCCGAAGTACTTTCTCTCTACAACAGAGACCTAATTCACACATGAACATGGGTTTTTGCCCAACAACGTTTGAGCCGAAATAAGCAAGAAGGAAGTCACCAGTTCTCTGTAAAAGAATAATTAGTTTCCCAGGCAAGGATCTTGAGAAAAAGGGAAAGGAAGAGCTAAATAAATAGAGGGAGGGCAGCTGAACGTCTAGGAAGTGAAGAGGTAGGTCTGTACCCAAGGGGGAGCTGAGCTTCCAGAAGCTTCCATCTGCCTTGGCCTCTGGCTAATGGCTCCACACGACGTGCAGGCTACCGTTTCCACTCCTGAGTGAGGCATGGACGGCCCTGCAGAATCTGGCCCCCCTTCTTGCTTTTCGGCTCCAGCCCTGCCCCCTCCCTCATGGTGCTCCATGTGATGGGACGCCCCTCCCAGCAATCGCCTCCTGCCCTCCCTCACTCTCTCGGTCTGCCCAAGCCCTTCTCATCCCTCAAGGCCCAGTGCAAACATGAAATCTCTGGAGCTGTCTTCCGCCTTCCCAGAGCACTCTGCCCACCACTGGGGATGTCTCATCCCCGGGCTCCAATGCCAGGCATACAGCAGGTGCTTAGTATATCCTGGCTGACCCAGGTTGACTCAGAGCCAGATTCAGGGCACCTGACCCTCATCCAGTGCCTTTGATGCTGTCCCAAAGCAAAGGCCTGCGTAGTGAGAATGCGCACAACCCAAAGGCGGAGTGCACACCCCTCTCTCAGCTCCCCGCCAACCACTTCCATTACCGTTGAAATTCCAGCGGAAATTACTTCCTCTGGGCGTGATATTACCTCTAGTTCCATTACGAATATCCCTGGGAGGCACCGATTCTCACCACTGTTAACCCGACTAACTAGAAGGCATTAGCACCTGTCCGAAGCCACGGCCTGCCTACAGGATCGGGTGCGTGCTACTCAGCATCGCAGGGAGACAGGTGCGGGGCGGGGGTGAGCGGGTGGGAAGGGCCCGTCCTGCATGAGGCACCGGGCAGCAAGGAGGCAGGGGCGCCCGTGGAGGGGATGCCCGCGGGGGAAGGACACGTGCGCTGGGAGGGAGACGGCGAAGAAAGGTTCCCTGGGACTTTCTGGGACGACTGGATTCCCTGCATAGAGCACTGATCCCCGGCTCTGATTTCCAATCACCTCCAGTAAATCTCCTTTTTGCTAGAGTACCAGAAAATTCTCAGGTAATTTTCCAATTTCAATTCACCTTAATCTTAAAAATAAATACATGCCTCGTGGCATTTTTCGGAGGGGTGGGTGTTTGATGACATAAAGTGAGTGACACCAGGGTGTCACAACTCCAGAAAGGTTTTACGTCGCTGGTTAAGAGTTCCGCAGTGAGTGGGAGTTTGATGAACTGAACAGTGAAGTGGCTTCCAAGTCACTCTGCCCCTGCTACGCTGATTTGCCAACACGTAACCTTCCTACACTGCCGCACAGCCCCCCGCCCTGGGGTGAACGAACCGTGCAGAGCTAGTGCGTGGCACCCCCCCGGGCGGCTGGAGAAAGGACTGGAAGGCTACGTTAGCTGTCAGCTGACAGCCGCAGGACCCTCGCGGGCCCTTGGGGGCATAGAGCCAGAGGCGGGACCAGCCAAGGCGGCGGGACGGGCCTCCAGGTTAGGGCACAAAACCTCCCTGGGACCTCTCGGGACAGCGGCAGGTTGGAGCCCTGGCTTCACGTTTCCTTGTGAAAGAGGCCACCGCCTGAGCGGGTTGACATGCTCCTTTCCGGCTCTCTGCAGTCAGAGGGTCACGCCGCCCAGGAGTGGAGGGGAAAGGGCAAATCAGCAGCAGTAGCAGCTGCTGATGCTTGGGCTCGAGCCTGAGGCCGCGCTGGGTGGCGTCTTTCAGGACCGCCAGGGGCTAGACGTGTTTCCCGAGATCTGAAGGGAATTTGTGACTTCATTTCACTTTTTTTTTTTTAGCTCCAGATTATGTATGGGATGATTACCTTGGATTAATCATTTGAATTGTGATCTTCCTCTTTCCCAAAGGAGAGGGCCTGAGGGGTCCTTTGGACCAGGATCCGTCTCCTCCAGAACCCGGCAGGTGGCGTCGCTGATGTGGACACACCTTCACAGGTGCCCTGCTGACGCCCAGGTGACTTTTGTAGCTTTTCCTCGGACCCAAGGGCTAACTTCCTCCCCCTCTGGGTTTTCCTCTTTCAAAACTCTGCATAGCTGCTAATGGATGGCATAGGGATAATGCAGGTCAGGCCCCTGTGGACATTTTTAAAAAGATAGAACTCTCAGGCGCCTGGGTAGCTCAGTCGTTAAGCGTCTGCCTTCAGCTCAGGTCATGATCCTGGGGTCCTGGGATCGAGTCCCGCATTGGGCTCCCTGCTCAGCGGGGAGTCTGCTTCTTCCTCTGCTGCTCCCCCTACTTGTGTTCCCTCTCTCACTCGCTCAAATACATAAATAATGAATCTTAAAAAAAAAAAAAAAAGAACTCTCTTTCAAACGAAATCTGTACCCGCTGTCTGTATACGAAACACAAAAAAGAGAAGAGGTCCTTTGGCTGAGCTCGGATGGGGACCTAGAGCCCTGACCCGCCCCTCCCAGCCCCTGGAAAGTGAATCTGTCACAGGTTCCAGAATTCTGCTATCATCTGAATCACAATGTCTCCATCTCCACAGGAAGTTTTGTCATCTGGCATTTCAGTGGCTGTGTTAGAATATTACAAGAGTTTTGGCAGCGTCCCAGTGGGAGGGGCGGGCGCCTGCGTGAGGCGGGGAAGCCAGCGGGTGCGCGGGGGGCTCTGACGGACCAGTGCCAGCTATCAGCACCACACGAAGCACCTGCTGGGGAAAAGGCCTTGGGGAGAACCAGGGAACGGAAAGAGGGTGACACGTGTCTTATGGAGGTCGGACGGCTCGTCCGCTTTCCTGTCCAGCTAAGGATGCCCCCCACAGCAGCTTGCCTGCGGAGTCCTGTCTGGCGAGCTAACTGTCATCGTGCCTAGCCTCAGCTAATGAACCTGTAGCGGGCGCGTACGCACGACCCCACGGAATCTTCCCAAAACTCCAGCTCCGGAGCGGGGCCACACGAGCAGCCTCCATGCTGGGTCAACAACTTAACACAAGACAGTTGTTACTTGGGATTTTTCCGGAAGAGAGGAGGGGCTCTGCCCCGGTGAGCAGAAGGAGCTGCTCTGGTATTGGAATTCTATGAAACCAAGTGCGCTCTTTGGAATCGATGAACTGTTCCCAGGCCCAGGAAGGCGTGAGGTCAGGCCCGAGTTTGGGGGCTGATTTCAGGTGCCCGCTGGCTTTAGCAAAGACAGAAAAGCAACTAGCCTTGCCCTCCTAATTCCCCTCGCCAACCAGGCCTCGAAGGTTCCCCATGTTCTCAGTGCAGTTCAAGAGAAGCTCACTAAATGTCCTGTCCTCTGAAAACTGACCCATCCAGCAGGGCCCATGCCAAGAGTGTTTCTTTTCTGGTATCGGGGACGGATCGCAGTGCTCCTATGGTCAAAGGCACGGGTTCCCCGGGTGAGGGGCGCTGGTCCCCAGAGCTGGGGCCCCACGCTGAGCCCCATGGGCTCCCAGTCAGTAGCTTCCTGAGAGGCAGTGTGGGGGAGAACAGCGAAGGGCCGGGATTGGGAGCAGGACTGTCCGAGCTCAGGCCCCAGCCTCTGTAACGGGGGCTAATGATGAGACCAGGGCCCTGCACACAGCAGGTGCAATGTAAGTGGGAGCCGCCTTGACTCTGACCCCTGGATCTGCCTCTGTGCTGCGCCTCAACCCCCCTCCACACCCCAGGGGCCACGCTCCGGTGATGATGTCTTCCCGGCACTGAACACAGGGGCTGTCTCTGGCTCTGATACCCCTGCCCACCCCATGCCCATCTCTGGACCCCGCAGGTGACGTGCACCCCAGAAGAGCACCAGCATCCCTGCTCCAGACCTTGGTGTCAGCAGATCCACTCGTGATTTGGCTGGAAAAGATAACTTTTCACCTCCTGCCCTAAGCTGCAAGGACCACCAGCCACGTGGTCTGCGTTTCCCTGGTGGTTGTGAGTGACCGTGACTGGAGAGGCCCCGCCAGGCAGTCCTGGAGCAGGTCGGTGGGGCCTGCTCAGGTAAAAAGGAGCTGGACGTTTGGGAGTCTCTCCAGCCAGGTCCTTCCGTGACCTGGAAAGAAGCTAGCGCCAGGATTGTCTTAAGGAGAGACGATGAGAATCACTGTCAGATAGAAAGCACAGTAGGCATAGACGCTTTCCGTGATGAAACGCAGTCCCCCATCCTCCCTCTGGCAAGCCGAATCCCAGAATCAATACCGTCGCTCTGAGCGCAGCATCCCCGGGACAAGATGTGAGTCTGCTCCCCGTGCCCGGCCAGCCCCCTGGAGCCTGCTGTCTGGGGCTGTGCCCATCCCTTCCCGGGATCCCGGCCAAGATGCCAGGGTTGCAGATTTCTCTCGTTTCACAGGAAGCTTTGTTCGGGGCTTGAGTGCTCACAATGGCTGTGGCCCTCTCTCTCCATTCTGCTGTCTCAGATGTAAACTTAACTCACTTTTATGGAGCACCTCTTGTGCTCCACACACCATGCTCAACGCATCCACCAACACTAGCTTGTTGAATCCTCCGAGGTGGGTGTCACCGGCATTCCCATTTTACCCGAGGAAACGGACGCCGGCTGGGCTGGGGGGGGAGGGGGGAGGTCAAGTTAGCAAAGCAACACAGAAAACAGGGGCAGGGCCAGGGCTTCAGCCCGAGTGCACGCCCACTATCCCCTGTTTCCCTTATCATGCTTGCCCCACATTCAGGCATTTCCAGTCTCTGAGGAAAGGGAGCCGCCGTGGGAGCAGGTGCTGGTTAGAGGATCGTGGGGGAAGATGCAGTTTGTGCGGCGGCTGGGGGCCCTGTGCCCGGGGGGACGAGGGCCAGGGAAGGGGTCCTCCTCCTCGTCCTGGAGACCAGGGCGTGGCCCGCAACGCAGAGCATCCCGGCTTCCAATCCCACAGCAGGGCCCCAACGTACTGTGCTCCGCGGGCCACCGTGATCAGTACCCACTGGGGCTAAGTCAACCCACCTCGCGAGATGTGCCCACTCACTAAAGAGCCTCTCCACGGCTTGTCTGTCACAGACTCTTCGCGAGGGCCCATCTTGTAGTAAAGTGCAAGTGATGAGCGCAAGCAGAGCAGGGGTCCGCCCCTCCCCGCTTCTCGCAGTTCCCCACGTGGAGATAAAAGTATGGATCGCTCACCCCTCTATCAAAGGGCACCAAGATGTACAGCAAAGCGGACCTGCCTACAAATCTGTGGATTTTTTTAACTTATGAAAAAAAGAGGCCCTTTCTGACAGTTTTGCTTGGAGACAAGGGCAGAGACTGCAGGTTCCTGTGTGATGTCCGTTGTCCTTTCCCCCCTCGTTATAAAACTCCAAGTTGATCTGTGGCAGCACTGTGCCCAGCTAAAGTCTACATTTGCAAGGTTACCTGGCCAGTGACATAGCAGAGGAGGGGGTATGTGCAACTTTCAACACGTCTGCTTAGACTCGGACGGCAGGTTGTCCCTCTATTGCCGTTTGCCGTTCTGCCTCGATCCTGCTGCCTGGAACGCAGCCCTCTTGAGCCATGAGGTGACCCTGGGCACAGAAGCCCATGCTACAGATGGTGCTGTAGAAAGCCAGAGCAGCTTGGGGTTTCCTGATAACTTCGCCATGCCTCCCCAGAACTACATTCCTCTGGACTCCTTTGACACCAGAGAGTGAGCCCTTGCATCTGTTGTATAAAGTCTAACTTAATCCTTAAAGGATGGGTCTTGTTTGACTGAAGGTCCTGGAATGTCTAGCTAGCCTAGGGCACCTGAGTCCTATCTGCTCTCTCTGCCTTTTAAACACACATACGTGAGTCTCCCTCATAGTGTGATGAAGCACAGAACATATGTTCACCTGTACAAGTTTAGGTACAGAGACTTTGTAGGTAGTACTAAATTAATGCCTAAAGTCAGTACTTTGTTGAATAAATATGTATTACACATCCACCGTGCCAGGTATGGAGCTAGATACAAGATCTCTACTCTCTGAACTTACGGGCCATTTAAACAATGAGATGTGTACTGGAGGAACGTTCTCTAACAGAGAGGAGCTCCCCAACCTAACCTCGGGGAAGGCTTCCCAGGAAACGCTGAGGCCTGGAGGGCAGGTGGGAGGCAGGCAGGCCTTGAAACCAGAAGCTTTCTGTGGCTGATGCGCAACCCCTTTCAATGGACCGCACTTGTCCTTTCCAAAAAGTCCGTGACCCAGCAGCTGATTCTTGCTAAGCCTGCAGTGATCTTGAGGTGATCAATGCTGATGACCATTCTGTTGCTGGACCCACCATTCATCTTTTTTTTTTTTTTTTAAGATTTTACTTAGAGAGAGAGTACACACGAGCTGGGGAGCAGCAGAGGCAGAGGGAGAAGCAGACTCCCCCCGAGCAGGGAGCCTGATGCGGGGCTCGATCCCAGGACCCTGAGATCATGACTTGAGCCGAAGGCAGATGCTTAATGACTCAGCCCCCCAGGCGCCCTGCACCCACAGTTTAGAAGGGAGTTCATCTTTTTCCTTCTTTTGCTTTTACCACAGTGTTTACTCCCTACCAGGGCTGAGAGCAAGGGGGAAAGTGCGCGTGGTTCACACCATTTGATCCGATACAAAGAGTAGATTTAGGGGAAGGTCACACTCTGTATGTATCCCGATCGTTTACATTCCGGGGCCTGGGAGGGGGGGTGGGGGGGCAGGGGAGCACCCCCAGTGAGCCCTGATCTCCGGCCCCGTTTGACTGTCACTCCCAGACCTGATAATATCGAGGCAGCTTGAGGCCTGCTGCTTCTGCCCTTAACAGAAAGTTTTTGTTCACATTGAAGGTGAGAATGAAATGGTTATAAGTAGCAGAAGCCAACTCGAGCCAGCTCACGCAGGGAAGGACAAGTCACCAAAACCGTGGCTGAAATCAGGGGCTGGAAGGGGTCGGGAGTGTCTCTCCGTGTCTCATCTCTGCTTCCACGTCCACTCTACTTTTCTTGCTCTGTGTGCAGAGTCACAGAATTAAATAATCACTTGATGATAATGCCTTAGCATAATTTTTCACGTGGTCAAGAGGTCGGCCATAAGGAGACTCTTAGTCTCAATTCCACACCAGCTGGCCCAGCCTGGCTTAGAAGCCCCTCCTGGGGTGCAAGCCACGGGCAGGGGAGGAGGCCACAGCAGACCACAGTCGAGCCCACGCCAGC